CATGGGCGGGGCAAAACGCCAAACGGGCTAAGGCATCATTCACGCCTAAGCGTGTCTCTGTCTTACAAAGGACAACCAGCACGTGATAACACACACATCATACAGCGACCTCGGGGCACTTGACCAGTTTCAGAATCCTAACCTACACACACACACGGACACGCTCTAATCTTCTCTCCGACGGTTTGTTAGATTTTGTACTCAAACGCCTTTGGGAACACGCATCCATAAAACAAGGCAAACAAACAACGCTCGCTTCACAGAAGCGCGAAACCAACACGAAAAGCCTCGGCTGCACACGCGTACGTACGCGCCCGCGCTTCAAACGTTTCCCGCGCTTTCCCCGCAGGTGAAAGCAAATTAAAACGGGCCAGCGATTGGCAATACGCCGCTGCCTGAAACACGCGGACCTGCCTGCCGCAGCCTTATGAAGCTGACGCGACCCGACATGCAAAAAGCACTGTTAATTTGGATCACAAAGAAATTAAAAGCGTTACAACCATGCTAGAAACGGCGATTATTTAAAAACGGATGCAAGAAGGGCTAGGCCTGTACTCTGACGGTTGAGCATCATGCTAGGGATGTTTTCCCCTAAAAAAGAACGTCCCGCACATGCCACTCGGGAGAAGCGTTCGGCTCAAAAACACAGAGCAAAGCCAGGAAATATGCCGCGCCGATTGTATCTGCGCTCCAGAGACCGCCCTCTCGACCCGCGACTACTCATGCCTCTTCCGTCTCTCTCAGCACTGGTTAGTTCGTCTTCAGCATGCAAAAGAGTTGACGAGGAACCGTCCCTCCTACTCTACCTAATTTTGCTCAGCTGATTCCTTGCCCTGGACAATGGCTGCAGCGCGATGAACTCGTCACTTAAAGCAACTCTCTTGGAGTACATCTACAATGGGACAGAAAAGGGATGGAACATACATGTCAGTAAGTAGTAACAGCAATTTTCTAAGAGAGAGACACAGGACAAGACATAGTGGTTTAAGCGGAATACATATCATATACAGAACACACGCCCGATACTTTCGGGACAGTTCCCGGGATCAACACAGCCGATTATCGTTCGCTAGGACCACACTTAAACGCTCCTCAGCTTTCCTGCCGAGGATAAAGGCCTATACGCTTATAGGCCTGTGCTTTACCTGATGCGTTTATCCAGTATTAACTTCCCCCCTCCATACTGTCGTGACTTACATTTACCCAATAGATTTCCATTTCAATCGAGAGCCTCCTTACCGGTCACTTCTTCCCACACCGTATAGGAGTTGGGAAAAGCGGCCAAAAAATTACACGCACGCACCCTCGGTGCGTTGGGGAAGGCAGAGCCAATCAAGCGCATCCTGCTATAACGGTCAGCACGCGCCAGCCTGTCAAATTTGGAAGGGACTGACTTCCCAAACACGGGATGGATTCCCCTCAACCCCCCTGTCCCCCCCCC